AGACATTGCTCATTTGAATATTTTATATACTGGCCTACGAACTGATACAAAGATGTTATTAGATGCGACAATTGGAGGATCCATGCTAGATGCAGAAATTGAACATGCCATAAGAATTATTGATGCATTGGCCTTTACAGACCAACAGACCCAACATGATAGGCATCCAGTTCAAAAGAAAGGAATGTTGGAGCTTAACACTTCAGATGCTATGTTAGCTCAGAATAAAATTCTGACTAAACAGATGGAAGCACTGACTCAACAAATAGCAAAGCTACCTCAGCAAATACATGTTATTCAAGCTTCTCCTGATCAACAATTTATGAAATGTGACTTGTGTGGAGGTGATCATTCAAATGAACAATGCTCTTATCAAGGAAACATTCAACAAGAAGAAGCTAATTAAATGGGTGCCCAAGGTAGTAGTCAAGGCAGACAAGGTAATTTCCCTAATTCCAACAATTATCAGAATAATGTTGCACAAGGATGGAGAGGGAATCAGAATCAGAATTAGAATCAGAATTTTGGATGGAAACAAGATGTTAGCTCATCTACTAGACAACCTACATTTCAACAACAGTCATATCAATAACAACAATAACATTATCCTTCAGTGTCTGACATAATGAGTAAATTGGAGGATACTTTAGAAAAATTCATGCAAAGCACTATGGCTAATCAGAAAAATACTGAGGCTTCATTCAGAAATTTGGAGACCCAGATGGACCAACTGGCTAAACAATAATCTGAGCAGCAAGGAGGACGATTTTCAGCTAACACACAAACAAATCCAAAGGAGAAATGTAAGTCAATAACTACAAGGAGTGATAAAGTTATAGGAGAATGGATTGGTGACAACATGGCTGTAGGAAAGGAAATCCTACAAGAAAAAAAGGATGAAAAAAAGAAAGATGAGTGTGAAGGAAAAAAAGAGAAAAATAAAAGTGAGAGTATAGAAAAAGAAAAAAAATACTGAAAAAGAAGAAAAAATAAAAAGAGTGAGAAAAAGAGGGAGAAAGATGAGAGTCAAATACCACAATTAAAGGATTTACCATATCCTCGTCATCCTTCAAAGAAAGATAAAGAAAGACAGTTTGTGAGATTTATGGATATTTTCAAGCATTTACAGATTAATATTCTATTTATGGAAGCTATGGAGCAGATGCCGACTTATGCAAAATTCATGAAAGAGTTGTTAACTAAGAAAAGAAGATTTACTACAGAAATAGTGGAGCTAGAAGCAAGATGTAGCGCTATAATTCATAAATCATTATCTCAAAAGTCTAAGGATCCTGGCAGTTTCACTATTCCAGTCACAATTGGAACATTACAAGTAGGTAAGACATTACTTGATTTGGGTACTAATATAAATCTGATGTCTTTATCTATGCTTAAAAGAATAGGAGATTTGGAAGTAAAGCCTACAAGAATGACATTGCAGCTAGCTGACAGATCTCTAAAATTTTCTTATAGTGTGGCGGAGGACGTTTTGGTCAGAGTTGATAAATTTATGTTTCCAGTTGATTTTGTTGTGATGAATATGGAGGAAGACACTAAAGTTCCTCTTATACTAGGAAGACCTTTCATGAAGATAGCAAAATTTATTATTGATGTTGATGATGGCAAATTAAAAGTTAGAGTAGAGGATGAGGAAGTTAATTTCAATGTGTTTGAAGCAATGAAACATCCTACAGATAAACAACATTGTCTTAGGATAGATGTAGTAGTTGATATCTTTCGAGAAGCAAGGAAACAACTAACTAAAGTAGGCCCATTGGAAAAATCTTTGACCGGTATTAATGATGAATTTGATGAAGAGGAGGAAAAAGAAATTGAGAAATATGTAAAACTTCTTGATTTAGCAAAAGAAGTTACTGCAAAAGAACAACAATCTCAGAAATTGAAGCAAGAACATGAAACTGAGAGTCAAAATTTGGAATTAAAGGTATTACCTCCCCACTTAAAATATGTTTTTCTTGCAAATGGAGGCAGCAAGCCAGTAGTGATTAGCAATACCTTAACAAATTCTGAAGAAGAAAAATTGATCTCAATTTTGAAAGAAAATGAGAAGGTTATAGGGTGGACGTTATCTGATCTCAAAGGAATCAGTCCTTCTTATTGCATGCATAAGATTCATATGGAGAATGATCTCAAACCTGTTGCACAACCTCAAAGATGTCTTAATCCAACTATGAAAGAGGTGGTAAAGAAAGAAGTATTGAAATTACTTGATGCAAGTATGATCTATCGTATCTCTGAAATTACTTGATGCAAGTATGCAACTACTGAAAAAGAATTACTAGCTATAGTTTACGCATTGGACAAATTTAGAGCATACTTAATTGGTTCATTTGTTATTGTACATACTGATCATGCAACAATTAAATATTTGTTAACCAAATTAGATTCTAAACCCAGACTAATTAGATGGATTTTATTGTTGCAAGAATTTGATTTGGTAATCAAGGACAAAAAGGGCTATGAAAATTTGGTAGCTGATCAATTGTCCAGATTAGTCAATACTTAAGTGACTAACAATCAATTAGAAGTGCAGGAGGAATTTCCAGATGAAAAACTGATGATGGTACAAGAAAGACCTTGGTTTGCTAACATGACAAATTTCAAAGCTGCAAAAGTTGTCTCAGAAGAATATACTTGACATCAAAAGAAGAAATTATTTAAGGATGTCCATTATTTTGTATGGGTTGATCCTTACCTTTTCAAGATAGGAAGTGATAATTTGTTGAGAAGGTGTGTGACAAGCAAGGAAGCTAAGACTATTTTGTGGCATTACAATAGTTCTCCTTATGGGGGTCATTTTAATGGAGTTAAAATTGTTGCAAAAGTTCTCCAATCTGATTTTTTCTGGGCTTCCTTATTTAAAGATGTGCACAACTTTGCACAACAATGTATTGATTGTCTGAAAATAGGGAGTATTTCAAGAAGAAATGAGATGCATTTGAATATCATGTTGGAAGTTGAAATATTTGACAGTTGGGGATTTGCAGGACCTTTTCCATCATCATTCTCTAAAGAGTACATCTTGGTAGCAGTAGATTATGTGTCAAAGTGGGTGGTAGTAGTAGCATTGTAATGGCCAACATGAGTGGCTAACTTCATTCTCTTAGGATTTGGTGCACTTCCTTTGAACTATTTTGTATCATGGTAATATTTTGAGATATTAAATATGTTTTAATATTGTTATTCTTATCCTTTGTACTTTGAAATGATTTATTCTTGATGTTTAGGATATGATTGAAAAATATATCTTGAACCCTAGATCACAGTAAGAATATTTGTTACGTTAATTTCCAGGAATGGAATAAATGTATCAATTGCTTAACACCCTAAACCTAATGCTGAAAAATCTCTTAATTGTGTGAGAAATCAACATTTATTAGGTTTTCTTATGAATTTCATGTGTGAGGAATCAACATGGATGATGTGAGTAGGTGACATCAACATTATTAGGTTAATTGACGTTCTTAATTGATATAGTCATTACAAAAGAGGGATAAGGAAGGAAATCAATTCTAAGTACTTTTAATTGATATTTTCTCAACAATTTACAGTTCTCTGTCATTTAATTTCAATTCAACACTTTATGCAAACTCATTCTGTTTTAATCCATTCTGTTTTAATCCACTTAGTAAGCATATAATTGAGAATTTCCATAGAAATTATTCCTTGTAGAATCAACTTTTATTTAATCGAAATACTATACTACGATTGATAATTTTGGTATACTTGTCAATAATTCAACACATACGCATGGCATGTTCATGTGTAGTGATGGAGCCACCTATGTGTAAGCTTCCCCCTTTTTCAGATAATATGTTCTTTTGGACCTACACACAGTTGGAGTGATACATAGGTGAGCTCAAATATTCTAGTAACATTCTCCAATCCAATCTAGCCTTTGGCTAGCAACTCTTGCGTCCCAAAACATCTTACTAAGTCTGTAAGATGCTTTGGAATGAAAATTCTTCTTTATTTAATTTTCATGTTCCAGTCCCTATTTAACCTTCATATGCAAGTAGACATTATTGTACAAATTATATACATATAAGTACATAAATAAAAGGAAAACATGGTGTTACTTATATTAAATATATGAATAAAAAACCTAAGTGTGAAAGAAACATGGTAGTTGGTATAACTAAATCTGAATAACTAAGTTATCCAATGTACCTGCTAAAAATATACAAATAGAAATTTTAATAATGTTACTCATTTACATAAATTATATCACAAAAAAAAAATAAAGTAAACAAAAAAATAAAGATTAGTATTATGTGAATACTGTAAGTCATATTTAAATTACATTTATAATTTATCTTTCAATCTATCATAAGAAAATTAATTCTCTTTTTTTTAGCCAATGTATAACTTTTAAATTCTATTCAACTGTATTTTATCGCTAAAATAAATAGAAATTTGTTTGACATAAAACCAAATAGACACTTAATGAATACATTTTCAATTAAAGAAAAAAAATGGAAATCACCTTCAATAAATAGGAGATATTAAACATTAACTACGTTTTTTTTAATTTAACCATTTAAGTAAATGAAGCAAACACACTCACGTTATTTGATGTCAGTTTCCTTAACAGTAGAAATTATTATAAATTTATGCAATCAAGGTTTCAACCTAGTTATTTAGTGCAAAGGAAATTAAACCAGAAATAAAAAACAGAAGAGGTAGGGTTATTTTCACTTTCATCTTATTCTTGTAAGGGATAAAAGGCTTTGGCTTCATGTTAAGTTTCAACCTGTGGGATCACAATGATCATAGACTATTCCTAATTAATCTATAGATTTAACAAAGTTTATAAGACTAAATCACACATAGAGACACTCACGAGTCAGGATATGATGATCCAAGTGCCACACTCAAACATACACAAAAGAGGGATGAAAAAGTCTTCACAGATGCCCTCAAAACTCTAACAACAGAAGGTGATTTACAAGGAGATTGAAAGGCAAAGAAGACAAGAAATGGCTACCTGCTATGCCTCTCTTAGATCCCTTCTCCCTCTTGAGTTCATCAAGGTGAAAAACATAAGTTACTTTGTTTTGTTTTTCTTTCTCTATACACTGTCAATTAGCTAGAACTCTTGATTCAAATCACTTATTTATTTCAATTTTAGTGGATACCCTTTTGGAAACTAGGCCATGCCATGAGCTAATTAATTGCTTGTAACCATTCTCTTTATGATGAGAATCTAAATATAGAAATCCTCTTTATGTATGTAATTCACACAATAACTATTTTTTCTTAATTACATTTTTGGTTACGTGAAGTTTTCTAGGTTTCTTGGGGTTTTATTGTGATATTTTCAGGGAAAACGTTTAATATTTGACCACATGAACGAGGCAGTGAATTACATAAAGCACATGCATTTCCAGCATTTAGATGTTCTTATTAACTTTGTGGTTGAGTTACCTAGGTTCACAATCTCTCCAACAATAGGAAATTTTACCATAACATGAATTTTCGATTGGGAACTACAAGTTAAACAAGTGTATATATAGATATATAACTATAAGTTAAAAATATGCCTTTTGAGCATAATTCAGTTTCATTTCTGTCTTAGGTTACTAATTACCACTCTAACATCTGAAATTAATGCTTAAAACAAAGATTAATAGGGTATAAAAAGTGAAAAAATGAAAGACTAATAAAAAGAAAAAGGTTATGAAATGGGGGATGAAGGAGCATATACATTTCATTTGGGCTTTCAAGAAAGCTTCCCACATCTCACATGCCAAAGATTCCTCCATACATTCTCAGTAAAATCTTAATCACTTTTGTTTTGAATTTTTTTGTTAAAACACACACTTTTTTTTTCTAGAAAAGTAGTTACCTTAAAATGTTGCCAGAAAGACTCCTTATCACTATTAGGAAACACTCCCCATGTCGCCTAAGGCTGAAGGAATTGTTGCTTAATATTCTTTGTAATAGCTTGTGATGCAACCCTAAACGAAAGAAACCTAATTTCAAAGAAAAACTTATACAATATATATATATATAGTAAAAAAAACTAAAACTTAGTTATAATATATATTGAGAATTGAATATAAATATTACCCTTGACCATAAGGTTCAATCATGAGTCGATCATGGAGAGTAGGGTCATCTTCTGCAATCTCTAAATCGACATCCCCACTAGACTATGATGTTCTAACTGCAATCTGTGGGGATGGAATCTATGTAGGTGGATGTTGTTGCGAGGTGGAAGGACCTGACACTGTAACAGGAGATGGTGATGGAGATGAGTTGGGTCCCACAACTAGGGCTGGGGATAAGATGAGTGTCACAATCGGGGTTGAGGATGGTATATGTGGTACTATAGAAGTGGATGGTGTTGTTAGTGATGTGGGTATAGTAGGCACAGCAAAAGGGGATGGTGTTGTCAGTGGTGTGGGTATACTAGGCACAACAGAAGAGGATGGTGTTGTCAGTGGTATAGGTATAGTAGGCACAACAGAAGGGGATGGTGTAGATCCTACCATAGAGGATGGTGATGGATGAGGTGCAGCAAGTGGAGACAGTATGTCTGTGGGAAGTACCTTCAATACATAACGTGACCTCTTTTTTTTGCTATCCCTTTCCCTTTATTCCCACCATTGGATGGGGGTTTAGGTGAGTTAGAACCTCTTGTAGTCATATCTATAGGAAAATAAAATTAGATATAAATAATGATGTAAAAACATATATTAAATTAAGTAAAAAGACTTAATAACATTACACATAAAAATATATGGATATAATATGTCTTTGTTATAAAATAAACATTATAAGACATAATTATCCTAATTATGTTGAAAACTAAAGTCTTCTTCTTATTCTTCATCTTCATCATCCTCATCCTCATCCTCATCCTCATCCTCATCTTCATCATCCTCATCCTCATCCTCATCTTCATCTTCATCTTCATCTTCATCTTCATCCTCAGTTTCTTCCTCTTGACATTCCTGATCCTCTTCATCGTGCTCTTCTTCCTCCCCTTCACCTTCCTCTTCCAATTCTTCAGGATCAATGTCAAAGTCTTGTAAACCAAATATAACTTCAACTTCAATGACTTCATTACCATGTAACATTTCATCTAGTTGGTAAGGGACATCCTTTTCCACACCATCATGTTCAATGCAACCTCTTAGTTTTATTTTGATTGCAACACACCAACCACGTTTATCTATTCGAAATGATGGATATGGAACATAATACACTTGTCTTACATTAGGTGGAAGAATAAATGGATCAAATGGTTGATGTTTTGAACTCATTCGAATATCTACAATATTATATTTAGGATCTATTTTTGTACCTCTTTTAGATGGATCAAACCATTCACAGTAAAAGACCACAACTTTTTTGGGATAACTTGAAGAATTGTATTCTAACTCATATATTTTAATAATTATCCCAAAAAATTCATCTTCATCACTTTCTGTTAAACACTTAACATAAACTCCACTATTTATCGTCTTTTTCCCCTTGTTCCATGCATATGTATGAAATTTGTATCCATTCACAAAATATTTGTGTCATTCTTTAACACATCTCATGGGATGATTGGACAAATCTCTTAGGTCTTGATTTCTCACCGTATATGACTCACTGTGGATCTATAAATTTAAGAGACATTCAATATTACATTACTATATTTAAAATATATTTAAAATAGAATTATAAGATTCATACCTTCTCCTTAAACCATATAGGAAAATTTGCATGTATCCGAGCAGAAGCCTGTGATTCAGTTATTTGTTCAGACTGCAAGAATGAACTAGCCAATAGTAGACCATTTCAACCGTCAATTTGAATGTCGTAGAAAATTTGACAAAGAAATTGAAAAATAATGTTATTTGAACCCACTCAAGATATGGTTTAACTTCAACACAGTTGATTAATATATGAACATGAGCGAATTTAAATTTAGCATCAGTAAACCAGTGACTCAACTCCCGTCCTGAAGGATGACCAACTTGTCGGAAGATTGATAACATTGAAACTTGTGTTTGGCTTTGAAATTCCTTTTCATTTCTACGTTGTCGTGGTAATAACATGAAGCTGTTGAAATAATGAGAACAGAAGTAAGTTGTCTCATGATGCAAGTAAGTTGCACAAATTTATCCTTCAACTTTGGCCTTGTTTTTCACTGATCGTTTTGAATTGCCCATGAATCTAATGAATTAAACAACAATATTATGATTGATAAGTGTAATAAGAATGACATTTAAAAGGCATGAGACAATCATTTTAGTACATTTCAAATAGATATATCCACCTATATTGCACGGGTCCACCAAACCAAGCTTCATATGCCAGATGAATAGGGAGATGTTCCATTAAATCAAAGAATCCAGGAGGAAATATTCTTTCCAACTTACAAAGAATAATTGGAATATTTTCTTCCATTCTGGTTAGCACTTCTCTCTTCAATGTTGCAAAGCACAAATATTTTAAAAAAATGACTGATTTCAATAAGAGGATTTAAAACATGTATTAGTAATGCACTAAATGCAATAGGAAGTGAACACCATGAATACATGACAATCATGACTTTTCATGCCCTGAATCCTTCCTTTTTGAACATCAACACATCACGCAATGACATATATGGCTTTTACATGAACATATCAGAAGGAAGATTATGTGGGGTAACAATCACAGGCCAACAAGAATAAGGTGAAGATGAAGCTTGGATATATGGGTTAAATCCATCAGAACATAATCCAAGTCTGACATTGCATGGATCAGAAGTGAAAGAAGGATGTTTCCTATCAAAGTACTTCCATGCTTCACCGTCTGATGGATGGCGTAACACACCAGAACTTCTATTGTCATGGTGCCAAGTCATTTGCCCAGTAGTATGCATTGATGCAAATATTCTTTGTAATCTTGGAATTATAGGCAAGTAAAACATGGCTTTTATTAGGACTAACTTTTTGTGACTTGTTCCAGTGTTATTATTGTGATATCTTGCTATTTGACAAAATTTACATTCAACTAATGTCGCATCCTTTTTTCCATAATCATTGTCATAGAAAAGCATACACCCATTGACACAACAGTCAATCCTCTTAGCCTTTAATCCCAATTTTGATACTTATCTCTTAGCATCATAATAAGTTGTGGGCAAACCATCTTTTATAGGTGTGACATCCAACAACATTCGTGTCATAAAGTCTAAGCACTGGTTAGGAATGTTCCAATTTGACTTGCAAGCTAAAAGTCTAACACATATAGACAATTTTGAGTCTTCCGCCCTTTCAAATAAGGATTTATTTGTTTTAGCCAACAAATTATAGAACCTTTGAGTTGCCTCATTTGGTGGCTCTTCTATATTAACCAACTCGGGTCCTTCAAATGAATGATGTTGCAAGAGAGAATTGTACATCATCTCTTGCATTGACATAAATTGGTCTTGTTGAGGCATGTGTGCACCACTACTTGAACCGTGTACACAATTGTGATCAAAATTTTCTTCAACATGAGATATTTGTTCACCATGATTGACCCAAATCCAGTAGTTTGTTTTGAACCCTTGCTTGTAAAGGTGAACTTTGACGATTTTATCTTTCAAAATCTTTGTACAGTCCCATTGAATGCATGGACATCTAATCCCTCCATCACGTTCATAATGCTCATATTGTTGTGTTGTTCTGATAAACTCTCCAACCCTTATAACAAAAGACTCTTTCAAACCTCTTCTACCACTATAACATCTATCATACATCCAACCGCGATTGAAAGAAATAACATCCATGTTCTATAATATTGAAGAGAATAAGATCAATTGAAGGAATTATTTGAAAGAAATCAACCATTAGATTTTGATTCAACTATATGCTTCAAATAGAGTGAAAAGCCTCAACTAAAACTTTTATGTTTTCAAAAAGTTGATACAAACAAAATCTCCTATAGACTTCAGACGAATAGTGAAATTGCACTTAACATCAATTGAAACAAAATCCAATCTAAACTTTGGATTCAACATAACAATACTAAGCTACTTTAATGTTGTCAAATCCAATTTAACATTGGACTTTCAAGCAATTAGGCTTCAATAAAAAAGGAATTAGTGTACTAAAACATATTTACATATAAAGATGAATTAAAATTATAGTTAAAACTAGTAAGCTTGTAATGTGCACATATTGACACAATAAAAATACTAAGCTAAAAGAATATAAAAACAATTTATTAAAATCTACATGGTTGTAGGTACATCATTTTTCCAAGTAGCTTAGTTCTTGTGTTTAGCTATGGTGGATGTATAATGTTTAGCTATAGAAGTATAATGCGAATTGAATAACTACAATTATATAAAAGGAAGAATGAACAAGGTTAAATCAAGAAATGTCAATATTCATGAGTTGAACTCACCTTAGCACAAATAAATCCCCTTTAAAAATCAGTATGGATAGTTCTTGCAGCTTGAGGAGCCTTTGTGTTGGCGTCTGATTTGCCAACACTTAACCTGCAACAAGTATCGTGTACCGAAACAGTTATTAACATTGAAAGACAACACATGCTATGATATTTGACATGGAAAAACTATTGGTATAATTGTTCAAGAGAATTGTTGTAGACACGATTTATTTTTAATTGATTGCTATCTATAAGTTGAAACGATTATATGTAAATTTGTTTATATCTAAAAGAGTATTTTATTTTTAATTAGAAGTTAGAGAAGGCTACTTGTATTAACGGAAAATGGGAAGAGAGAAGAATATTGTTACTTTTATCCAACAAAAAACATAAAGACACAGTTTTTATTTTAAATT